TCAATTTTTTTATTTATTATTGTTGACTTAACCTTTGAGCTTGTAAAGATATGACCCTTAGGTTGAGCCTCATTGTGAATACTGAAAACCAACATTTCAGGTCATCATTAGCGCCCCCTAATGATGAGTGGCTCTTCTTTATTGTCAGACGGAACCGTCACTGACATGAATGAGGTTCGCTGTCTGCCTCGCAGCATTTAGCCAAAACACACAACAATAAAACCGAGGGGCATGTTTACACAGCGGGTCGGTGAACTTGTTTTTAAGCTGCTCTAAATCATCCTCATGACTGACGCGTAGCTAACAACTGCATCGCTGCGCCGCCCCGCCTCTACGAGGCTCGTCCCCTGTTGGAAAAGATACTGATGCAGAATTATGTTTTGTTTGTTTTGGTTAGAGGCAAGAACATATTTCACAGTGTTGAAGGTCAAAGGGCAAGTTGAATTCTATGTGACTTACCGGGAGGAAATATGAGCCTCTAAAGCTTTTTAAGTGATTCCCTTCACTGCCGTGGCCTCGGGGCCAAGCTAGACTTGTTTCAACACACCCAAACAGAACAAGGCCCAAAGTTCTCCACAGACAGGGAAGTGATTTGTGGGGGTTTGTGGGAGCAACACGTGGTCAGTCTTAGGGACCATCTCCGTTTGTTCATTCTTTGATCATTCTGGGCAGATATTAAAGCTGCTCCTCGACCGTCACGTCCACACATGTCATCGTCCGTACAGGATGTTCTTAAGAAGCCCCTAATTTTTTCTCCTGAATAGCTTTCTTTTTTTTTTTTTTTTTTTTTTTTTTTTTTTTTCTGCAAACACAGAGTTCATTTTAGGTACGTGACCTTTCTGAATAAAAAAAGAATATCTGGGAAAACAATTTTGGGGGCTTTCCTCCTGCAGAAAAAGTGCCTCTGGTTGGATTATTTTGTCAGAAGAAAATAATTCTAGGGACGTGATTAAGGGCGAGTAAATAGCTGCAGTGTTATGGGTAGAGTGTGTGTATTTACGAATGCCTTGTGCTCACGTTGGCCCCCTGCCATTTTAACTCAGCTGAGGTCACGGACAATGAGGAAATAATTGTTCCAGTTATCAGGGTATGGGGAAGATTTATGCTCCACACGTACATTTTTTTTTTATTTTTAAATGAACTTTCATCACATTTGTTATTCACACACAAACTGCATTTTTTAGAAAAAGACAATTTTAAAACCCTGTTAAATTGGGCTATACAAATGAAAATGACTTGACCTGTCAGCTTGTAGTTTTAAATTATGTTTAAATTTATCCACTTCAAAGCAGGGGTCCCAACCCCCGGTGTGGGGACCTGTGCTGGTCCGTGGGTAATTTAGTACCGGGCCACAGTGTGACACAGTGAAAAAATCTACTTTTAGTTTTACTAATGTACTTCATCCCAAAATAATCCAGTCATATCCCTTTACTGTTTTCATTCAAAGATAATCTGTCAATGTTTCAAAACAACAGGTCAAAGGTCATTCAGACTCTGACACTGACAGAAGAAAGTCTGAAAGAGGTTTGATTTGGAAAATTCTGTGATCCTTCAACGATGGAGTGGTATTACCGGTCCACAGCTGATACCGATCGACCGGTCCTTGGTACAAAAAAGGGTCGGGGGCCGCTGATTTGATGACACTTGTATTGACAGCTTCCTGTGCTTCGTTATCACCAATACTTTTCATACAAAGACAAATAAACTTCTTTCCCAAACTTTTTTTCTGGGGACTCACAAACTTTTGCGACCCAAGTCAGTGGACATCATTGTAAACTCCTGGGAAACATGATGCAAGACGACCCAAAAAAAAAGTCTCTTGCGACCCACCTGCGGGTCACGACCCAGTCTTTGGGAAACAAGTAACTACATGAGAGACACAAGGGAGTTGTGGGAGAGAGCGCCAAGGCAACATTACTTAAAGTCAGAAATAGTGAAAAGTAACATCAAGAGTTTCTGGATAAAAATGACAAATTGCTTTCGGTCCCTGGCGTTTCAGAGTGCCAACATAAGTCCGAAAATCCCAGATCAATGCGGCCCATCAGTTCTTCTGTCCATAATTTCTGCGTCGAACACTGAGTCTGCCTCTGTGGGGATTTTGTGAAACATGTGTGCGAGTGTTTCGGGGGCCGTTCATGAGAACGGAGCATCAGTGGGATTATCTCTCTCGCCTGCTCTCGTTCTCCACCGTCCTGCTCCTCTCTGCTCTCTGTCTCCTCCACCTCATCACCCCTCAGCCTCTCCACCGTCAGGGAGCCACGGCACGAAGACCACCGCTGCCTAATTTGTTCAGTGGGTCGGGTTTGGGTATGAGGGCTCTGTATGTGTGTGTGTGTGTGTATGTGTGTGTGTGTAAACACATGTGGGAGTAAATCACAGCCAAGAGGAGAAGACGGCAGAGATAAGACTGGGCATATATTTGATGGAGCGGCATATTTGATGTGAGATGTAGGTGAAGGGATGGACATGTTGGAGGAGATCCATGGCAGACATATTGCACACACACACACACACACACATCCTTGCAGTGAGCACCTCCTCGTCGGCCAAGTGGTGCTATGCTTTGATCTTGACACTGTGGGTCAACCCAAGCCCTCATCTCCCCTCTCTTTTTACTCTTCACTCTCTAGCTCCCCCTCCCTCCCCCCTCCTCTCCCTCCAGCCGTCTGGATGACTATCCCCGACAGCCTTGGGGTGTTTAGGTTCTGGAGGGATCCCAATTTCCTCTTCTAATCATGACATCATCATGCCTCAATGGGTTAAAGATGTGGCCAGCAGATCCTCTGCTGCCTTGTTCTGCAGCTTCCCATCACATTACACACATTACACGCAGCGCGTCGCGTCGCGCCAGGAGAAACGGCCAGAGCCGGCATGACTGTGTAACTAAGGCGTGTAAACGGTCGGTTGGTTGATGGTTAAAAATAAGTACGTGCGTTTATTGAGTCTGTGTGTACGTTGTTCTGAGATGCAGAGTAAGTTTAGACCAGGTCCAGGCCGTGTGGTAATCCAATAGTGCTGTTCATCAGTAGTCTGGAGGATACAGCCTACATCCTCGGACTTGATTAAAGGCTAAGGCTGATTAGAGGTGAAGAGTAGCTGTGGCTCGCCTGGGCTGTCAATAGACGTTAGCTTCACCTCCACCAGGCTGGCTAATCACGTCAGGAGTGAATCATCTGGTCTGGTCACCAACAAACGCTCTCCTCTCCTCTCCTCTCCTCTCCTCTCCTCTCCTCTCCTCTCCTCTCCTCTCCTCTCCTCTCCTCTCCTCTCCTCTCCTCTCCTCTCCTCTCCTCTCCTCTCCTCTCCTCTCCTCTCCTCTCCTCTCCTCTCCTCTCCTCTCCTCTCCTCTCCTCTCCTCTCCTCTCCTCTCCTCTCCTCTCCTCTCCTCTCCTCTCCTCTCCTCTCCTCTCCTCTCCTCTCCACTGCTCTCCATTTCTTTTCTCCCCTCTCATCTCCTCTCTTTTCCTCTCCTCTCCTCTCCTCACCTTTTCCTTTTCCTCTCCTTTGCTTTCCTTTCCATTTCTCTTCTCCCCTCTCATCTCCTCTCCTCTCCTTCCCTTTCCTTCCCTTCCCTTTCCTTTCCTTCCCTTTCCTTCCCTTTCCTCTCCTTTCCTCTCCTCTCCTCCCCTCTTCTCTCCTCTCCTCTCCTCTTCTTTCCTTTCCTTTCCTTTCCTTTCCTTCCCTTTCCTTTCTTTTCCTTTCCTTTCCTTTCCTTCCCTTTCCTCTCCTTTCCTCTCCTCTCCTCTCCTCTCTCCTGTTTTCTTTCTCCTCCCTGCCACAACACTTTACTGTGTTAAGTGAGTAATGAGAGAAGCCCAGATTACAATCAGGCGCTTCATTTTCTGCCAGGTCCACATCTGTGCTCAGCCATCAAGCATATAATGATGCAGTATTACTGGAACAGCGGAGGGCAGTATCAGCACTGCCATCACCAGGGTACTTCATGACCTACACCTTTATTGAACTTGACCATAATAACATTGATAAGTCCAGTAAATACTGGTGAATCGGTGTGCGGTCGTCAGTCTTCTACCATGTAATTAATTAATGAACAAGTGTTCATAATTGTGTGCAATTAAAAAAAAAGTATTTTCATTGAAAGTCATTTTCATGTTTCTGTAACGGTGACAACATCCAGGTGAAGTTGCGATAAAAGTCAATAACTTATCAAAACAAACCCCGTGTCACTGGCAGGTTAAAATTAAACCTTGTATTTTCGAGTGGGATTCAGACCCTTCGTGACAAAGTCAGTGTTTGTGTAATGTAGGTGCGGTTGTCACTGCGCTGCAGGCAAAAAGAAACCCCACGTGTGTGAACGGCACCATAAATAACACCGACACTTTTATGTGACCCGTCGTGTTTGTCTACATATATAGCAACTTTCAGCATCTCTCCCACACCTCACACGTTGTAAAAAAGGTGAAGTGTACCTTTATTACAAACACATTCACCACCTGCCGCTGTTTAAAGAGCAGCTGATAGTCAGAGTTTTGACACGGTGCTATAATTACCACCTGTATTTATAATGGCTTTTTTTTTACCCGGCAGGTCAACAATGTGTACGAAGCACAAAGACCTAGAGCAGAGCCGACGGGAACACCTACAGAAACAACACTGCTGGGGGTGGAGCCAGGAGTCAGGTGGGTGGAGTCAGGAGTCAGGTGGGTGGAGTCTACATCCATGTTCCAGTCTGTGAACTGAAGTACTGACAGTGGTGACTGTCTTTTGCTTGAAGGATCGCTATTCTTATTGTATTTAGAAGGATGGATGGATGGATAGATTGATGGATGGATGGATGGATGTATGGATGGATGGATGGATGATAGATGGATGGATGGATAGATAGATGGATGGATGGATGATAGATAGATAGATAGATAGATTGATGGATGGATGGATGGGTGGATGGATAGATGGATGGATGGATCGATGGATGGATGGATGGATGATAGATAGATGGGTGATGGACGGATGGATGGATGGATAGATGTATGGATGGATGGATGGATGATAGATAGATGGGTGATGGATGGATGGATGGATGATAGATGGATGGATGGATCGATGGATGGATGGATGGATAGATGTATGGATGGATGGATGGATGGATAGATGGATGGATGGATGGATGAATAAATAGCTAGATGGATGGACGGACAGATGTGTTTTCTGATTGGACAGTAAACTGTGTGTGTGTGTGGGGGGGGTTATGTGTAGTAGGGACTAAACTAAAACCAGTTTTTGCTACGTCATTCTGTCCTGTTTCAATCACTGCATTTTGACAGTGGTATAAAAAAGAGTAAAATTAAATATGCAGCTACAGTCTGTTCCTTAAAAACAGCCTGCGTGTATCAATATGTTCAGAGAAAGGTTGGGGAGAAATTTGCACCTGTGGTTGGAGTGATTTGACTGTCAACTGGATTATCTGGACGTGTCCGAGTGTCATTTTAAGCCCAGTAAAAAGTCCAGTTCCAGTTCTATTATTAGAATAGTTGTAGTTTTCTCGAATAAAAAATATATAAATCAGCTGTCTCTGAAACGAAAAGAAGAAAGTATTTTTCTTTTTGGCCCTTGTCTGATGTCAGTATTCAGGTACCAGAACCAGAAGAATCGTAGAGTTCGTACAGGTTTAGTAGTCTGACACACGCACAGCCAGGAGTGTGTTTTACATTAGGGAATAAGAGAGTGATACTGTGCTTGAACTTGGCATGTAGCAACCTTTATGGTGGCATTAGAGGCGGTCAAAGTCAAACTCACGCAGCCGTTTCTCATTCTTTCAACGTTTTCTTCTCTCACCCAGGCGAACTCTCTGGAGCTTTTTTCACAACAGTGACGAAGAAAAATCTCTCTGCTAATGCTGAAGTAACACGTCTGGGATCTGAGGGAAAAACACACAGCCTAGAAAAAGTTTCCCTGACATTCACAGAAGAGACATTACTCTGTCAATATCCCAGTTCAACAGACAACGTGGCCTGAGCTCGGCGGCCGGTTCACGTGTACTCGTGCACTTACGGGCATATCTCCTCTTTTATTTGCAAAATGAGAAAGGTGGGAGAGGCGGGGAATTGGATTCCTCCGAGCCTGCTGTTCCTTGTCAGTGCGGCTGTAGACAGCTGGGCGCCCACTACAGTTAAGATCAGAGGCCTTGATAACCTGCTCTCTGATTTATGGAGAGCAAACGGCCTCTGCAATCACCTAATGAGGTCGAGAACGCTAGTGTTTAGATGTTTATTAGTTAGCCAAAACCAGCTGGGGTCACTTTTTTTTTTTTTAACTTCTGACTCTTATTGTGTCTTTACCTGAGCTTCAGCCCAGTGTACCGTCAAAACATTCAAAAACAAATTCTGTTCTATCTATCTATCTATCTATCTATCTATCTATCTATCTGTCTGTCTGTCTGTCTGTCTGTCTGTCTATCTATCTAGCTATCTTGCTAGCTATGTCTAGTTTGTTTCTTCTTAACAGTAACATTCCAACCTTAATGCTACTTGGTTAGCTAAGGTTAGCTCATTTAGCTCCTATTTCTTTAAGGAATACTTTTGTATTTTTACCAAATATGTCATATTTTATATTGTATTGTTATACAATATTTCCAATATTAAACAATGATTAATTGTTTGGTTTTTAGTTTTGTCGCTTTGTTAACTGCCCTCCATTAACTTTTTAAATTTTTTAGCCTTTGTAGCTTCATGGCTAGTTCCAACTGTTTCCATTTTTTACTTTACTATATTAATCAAAATATTACATTCTTATTCAACTTTTACAGCTACATTTTTTTTTGACTTTTTTTAAACTCTACCTTTTTTAAGTACTATCTGACAAAACGCACAAACTGACTACATAAAAACAGTTTGTTGGAGATATCATCCAATCCTGGGCCACTTCTAGCAGACATCTAGCCCATACACATTTGGTGTGAGTCTTAAGTGATTCACATGTAAAATGAAGCCCGATATTTTCGAACATATTTTTTTTTTTTGTCCTTTCTGGGAAATAAACAGAGTTCTTGGCAGTGAGTAGCATTAATGCCACCTATATTTGGCCCATACACAGTCCGGCTGTGACACAGTCTAACTGGCTACAGTAGGCACTTTTTAAAGGTTAATAACAATGCAACACAAAAATCAAATAGGTAACCTGATTCCTACAGTAGAAAATACAATTAGGTGTTTTTTTTATTTCTGTCTGCCTGCAGGTCCACAGTAAATAGAGATCGACTCGTGAGTGTGCAATAATGAAGATTTTGCTTTCATCATAGCCAGTCTAGCGTAGGTCCAGAGTTTTATGATCTCCAGCCGACCCCTATTGTCTGCCTCCACCACCAAACTTCACCACATACTTTGCGGTTCTCATTACAGGAGGTCATGTAAAGTGTCCTCTGTAGGGGCTCGTCTGCCTCGGGGCTTTTTCTCAGCAGGAGGAGGCTGGAACGCACGGTTCGTGGCAGCGCCGTTTCACGACTTCATGCACTGCAACTGTACCATGTACCGACTCAACATCAAGCAGCAGCATTACCAGAGAGAAAGAAAGCATCACTTTGGCTGATGCTGATAATTCAGCTGTTGTCACGTGCATCTGTATATAGATGTTCTCTGTAACAAGATTCCAGCGTCTAATCCTCTGTTAGCGGCCGATCTCGGCGGGGTTTATTGGACATTCATTATGTGTGCGCGCACACACATACCAAAAAAAAAAAGACCTCTGAGACAACGCTGTTCTCCAGGTTACACTAATAAATTACAAAATAACGCAAGTGCAATGTATGAACTCACAAACACGAGCTGACAGAAAACACATCAGCTTCTCTGGGGTTTCCCACCGCACCTGGAAAAAAAACTCTTTTCTGTCCCAAAAAGCTAATCCAGAACAGACTGTTTTCTCACTCACCCCCTCACCCCCCCATCCCACCCCCTTTTCTCCATTCAGCCTTCAGTAAAGTATCAAAACAGCTTCTCCATTCTGCCTCTGTAATAGTGGCTTTGTTTTTAATCTTTGGATAAGATGTGGTTCGGAAAACTTCTCTTACCGTGCTTGGGTTTCTTGTTCCCTCCTCTTTTCAGTGTAAGTGTCACCACAGAGACTCATCCGCCTTTTGTTAATCTAGAAATTGTCACTTTTTGGCACAAATTCAATTTTGGAATCCTTTTAAATTTTAAGGCTTAGGAAAGCACTAGATGGACAAAAAAGATCTTTCGATGCCTTTATTTTGTTAAACTTTGAGTGATACTAGTGTGTTTGTATGACTTGTTGTGTTCATTTTCAATCTCGGCTTTTTTTAAATGATAACAAATGCTAGCTTCATGCTAAATTTCAACAACAAAATGTTAAGTTGTAGAACTTTAGCATGAGGTTAGCATTTTTATTCTGTATAACAGCTTACAATTCAGTCTTGTATTCGTCCACTTGGTGGAACAGGAATCATTTCCATTTGCAGAAAGGCTTAATCAGCAAAGCCTCCTTCTCCTTGTCCTCCTTTTTAGCCTTTACCCTGTTTTGTTTTTTTTTAATTTTGCTTAGATGCCGACCTGCCGGCGCTCCTGACCAACTCCAGCAGCAACAAATCACTCATTTTTATACAATTACCTCTTGCTCCCTTTCCTGCGCATGGCTGGGTGCGAGTGTCGCCCGTCTGCCAGCCATTGTGTGCTAAATTTAGGCCCATTATTTGCTATAACAAATGTGTAATGGGCAGAGTCACTTTCACATTAATAGTTTGCACCCAGAGGGAAGTCTTCCCCCTCTCCGTGGATCAAAGGTCTCAGTCTATTGTATCTGACTTCCCGTTTCAATTTTTAGCCACCGTGTGTTGTTTTTTCTCACTCTCTCGACCTGGACCAGAGCGCCAGGGCAGTTGGTGCTTTCAAATCGGACACTGCTGTGAGTGACAAGCATGAGGAGATGCCCTCTGACCTTTGCGGCGATTGCCGCGGAGCTGACTTGTGATTTGTGGAAAGTGCAGGAGATGAGAGGACACGCATGAAGTGAAAGCTCACGCTCTTGATATCATGTGTCCACAAATGGGAGAAGAAAAGAAAAAAAATCTGCATTCCATTGTTGTATTGTCAGCGTAGGTGCCTGAATTTGATAAAATGCCTCATCACCATCCCACGGTCCAGCTCCCACAGATGGTAAATGGTAGATGTGGAGCAGCAGAGATTAGCCCGACCTTAGCCTTTCTAAAATAAGTCTTTTTTTATGAGTTAAAGGAACAAGTGTGTGCCCTTGACTGTGCACTGATAATCTTACCACATCCCTTTGAAAGGCCACTGCCAACTGCACTCACAGGAGTGGATGACTGATGAGACCGTGTGAGACAGGAAGCTGTACAGTGTCAAAGACCGTCCACCTTCCTCAGTAAACATACACAAACAGAGGGCATGTACCGTACATAGAGAAGTTTTTAAAAAAAATACTGCGAGCACGACTTTATAACGAACAAAGGAAAACTTTGAAGTAAATTCAGGTAGAAATCTAACAACTTCATCGAATAATAAAGAAATCCAGCAGTGGAAACGTTGATCCTAAAACTTATTTTCACCTTTCTAAAACATAAAAGTAAAAAAGTACACATTTGTTTATACACCTTGGATAAATTTTACATATTTCAATTCTAACGTTAATGAATGTCCAATTTTAACTTTTTGCCGA